CATCAAGAGCGTCATTTACCAGTACTTTAGGGGGCAGAAACAGATGTCGGTCTCTTTGAAGTGTACCTCTGCATGTTGTTCATTCGATGCTTTATCTCGGTCCTGGACAGAGAGGAACTCTGTCAGCGAAACACAAGAGAAAGAGATGGAAAATGGAGTCCCTGAAGATAAGCGAGAGAGAGAGATGTGGACTTCAGAACAGCAAAATGAGCCCTTGCCACAGGAAGAGAAGAAATTTTATGCAGTGTGCAGGGATCAGCGAGGACACTCGTAGCCTGGTCGTGTGGTGCCTTAAAAATCTCATGCTTCTTATTCTTTGATTCCCACAACTGAGATTTTGATTCCATGAGAGCATGCCTTGGGTTTCCAAGGTGGCTTTGTTCTCTATATGTCTTAGAGATATATAGAGTGACTGACTTAGGTGGCTTTGTTCTCTATATGTCTCTATAAGGGAAGTTTTTTCAGGTAATGAAAGCCAAGGGGGCTGGCCGAGCAGCCATGGTCCAAACAGGGAAAACGTGGGATTTCAGCACAGTTGAAGGTTCAGGGCTTCTTCCTTACAGGCACTGTAGTCAAGGAGACTTAATGAGTACAGGCAGCTCTGAACTGTAACTGTTAAGGATTTGTTTGAGAAAGTATCTGAAGATTTAGGGTAATGAAATTTGTATATCAGAAGAACTTTAATTCTTAAGAAGGCAAATGTTATTTCTGGCGCTACAGAGTATAGGCGTCGATCCAAGCACACTGAAGTCAATAAAAAGCCTCCGTTTGGCTTCACTGAGTTTTGAGTTAAGTCTATAGAACGTTTGATAAACTGAAAACGTTACAGCAAGCTTCTGGTGTTCACCATCGCCTTACGACAATAGGTCCTGGTGGGATCAGGGAAAGGCATTTCATAAAAGGGATTTGCTACACGTACAAAGAGCAGAGAGCTGCTTCATTCTCGTTGTTGTTTGTTGCTATTAATTTGATTTGGGATTGGGAACCATTTTTTACAAGTTAGCATTGTTTTTCTATTGTGTATTTTCTGGTAAGGTTTAAATTATGATGAAACTTGTTGTGGCATATAATAAAAGGCAGTCACTGCCTGCTGGGTAAATGTCTTAGTTCCGGGGATGTGCATGAAATAGTTGGGAGTACTGAAATGCAGTTGGGTTTATTTTTGTTGCACGCTGTTATTTTGTTAGGATACGAGGTGGCAATGACATGGAAACACTCATTAGATAAAATAATCTAGAATGTCTTTTGATCCGTTTTCTGCTTCAAATCTATGCTTGACATACATGGCTTGGCACCTGGCTATACATGCAGCTATACGTGTGACAACGTTTGGCATGGCCTGCGGATTGTGCTTGGCAATACCTCTTTGTAGCGATGCATAAGTGCACAACTAAGTATAACTGTCCCCTAAACAGATAGGAAAGTTCCTACAGCTCTGCTCGTATTCAACAGATGAGGGCAAATTACTCCCTGTATCCCTCGGCAACGTTTCGTTGTTCCTGCATCATGGTGATGGCACAGTCACCGAGTGCTTGTCCACCCCAGCCTCCCATGGAGCTCTTCTAGACCATTAGTGGTCTGTGGGTGGACTCAACCCAAGGTGCATTAACCCACCGATAAACTTAAAATTCACTGGATGCAAAGTACTCTCAAATTCACTGGGGAAAAAACAACCAACCAACCAAAACCCTGCTGGACAAAGAACAGGAGGAAATATTTTTTTCCTGGCTTCTTTGTATTAAGAGCAATGCAGCTGCTATTAAGACCAACCAACAATGCTTTTATACCCAGTGGAGGGGTTTTCAGTCCAGGAGATTTGGCTGTATCCTTGTGAAATCCTGGCATTAAGGGCTGACGCTGGGTCCATTCCGCTGCAAAACAGCCTGAGCCCTGTAAGCCACACAGAGCCCCAGAAGTTTACTGATCCTTATCAGGTGCAGCTAACAAAAACCACCGGGAAGGTATCCCCCTCAAAATTAAATCGAGGCTGCAAGGAAAGCAGGGCTAAGGAAAAAAGGTAATACATATATTTAAAAAAAAAAAAAAAAATCAATGTACTCACAGCCTTGAGCTGTGAAGCTGCCTACTAAGTGAACAGCTCTTGCAATTTAACTCCCTTCTTCCTGTGTTGCAGTGTTCTTAATTTTGGGGTTCTTTGATCTACCTATTCATAGCTGTGAAGCGAGCAGAATTTAATCAGGCTCTGACAGGAGATGGTTGATTTTAATACCGGCCTCCGAAAGAGAGCTGTCAATCAAGGACGAGCTTTAATACCTTCAACTTGCAGCTCCTTTAAACTTCTGCTGCAGTTGAACGGTGCTTGGTCAGCTGTGGAGGAGCCGGGCACCTACAAAAGGGACTGGGGGCTCCCTGGGCAGCTTCGGAGGAGTCCCTGGGGGCTACTCCCTGCCCTCTGTAAAAGGGGCGGAATGAAACGTCTAATCAAGTTGGCATTTCATAGCCACATGAGAGGAGAGATTTCCTCTTTGAATAAGGAGCGGCTTTCATAAGTGCACATCCCAAAAGGGCCTGCTGAGCTTTTGTGAGCCAGCAGGCAAGGCAGGTTTGTAGTCACTTGGATTAAACCTTTCCTTATTGTAGCTGGAACGGGAACAGTGAGGACAAGGGTTACTTTCCGTACCTAATTTCGAGCTATTTTAGCTGGGAATGTTAGATAAAATAGTCAATGACTGGCAGGATGATAGAATATGGTTTAATTTCAGATTTACTATCTGCCAACACATGCCATTCAATCAGATAAACACGGGATTTCAGCTGTCATCACAATATCTTATGCATACTTAAAAATAGAGCACTTTTTCTCACACCAAGAAAAAATTGAACAGGTTTATATATAGGATGTATACAGTCAGGAGGCTAGAAATTTTGAAATAGTCTGCCGTTTCTAGAGAGATTCCCTATCTTTAAATTAAGGAATTATATTAGAAGTAGTAGAAATTCTCAGGATTGCGGAAGTTTTGTCATTGTCAACTGCACAGAATAAATAGTGAAGGGAACACCTTGAGTTCAACTATATAAAATGAGGGAAATGTCCGTAGTATTTACAGCAGAAAACATGAGACTGAATAGAAAGCAAGACACCCCAGAACTTCTCTGCGTAGCAGTATCATTCCACCCCTGGTTTATAAGTTTCCATCCTTGCTCTTTTGTGTGTCCTGGTTCACGTATTTGGCAGAGGTAGAAGATGACAATCTAGCATCATCCCAGGACTGTAGTAAACCAGTTTTCACAATAAATGTAATTTAAGCATTCACTGTCTAAAGCTTCCCTCCCGAAAGCACACAATTTCACTTCAGTGGAAGTTCTCATGTAGGTAAACTTTGGCACCTCTTGCCACCAGTGCCTGAAGTTGTCAATTTGTGAGTACATGGATGAGTGCGGCTTTTTGGCTTGAGCATTTAACCAGTATTTGGGTTCTTTATTATATTATATCCCTTGTGAAGAGTAGCTGATGACACAGTCCAGCATCTTTTTAAGGTCTGGCACAAATCTGCTCAAGCTCTGCCCTGCTGCATTCTCCCCTGCTCACCAGCCTCTTCCTTAGTGCCCACGTAGCCCATACCCTCAGTCTCATGTTTCCTACCTAGTCTCCCCTTTCAGGTTTTGTAGTCAGCTTTGATTCAGAGATGTCCTTGTTAGGAACTACTAGCATTTTCCAGCATAACCCATTATTTCCTGCTCTTGTTCCCTTCTGTGTTCTACCAGACTGCTCTAAAATGACGTCCTGAACTTCTCAGCGTAATGATATCTTTGAAGCCACCACTTGCGCTTTGCGTTGAAAAGCAGCTCTAGCAAAAGGACAGCATTTTCTCCTGAAGATAAGGGAAAAAAGGCATTTTTTTGAGAGCATTCCTCCCGCCCGTTTCCCTGCAGGGGGGAGGCTGGTGCTTTTTCTAGCATTTGCAAAGGCTCTCTTGAGGAGCTCTGCTACGACAGATCAGCTTATTGCCCACGGAGACACGAGGACAGCGTACTGCCAGCCAAGATGCTGAATTTCCTGCTCCTTGGGCTTCATCCCTTTCTGGTTAAGCTCTCATGCACTTCAGAGGAAAACTTGATTACCGAGTTGCAGGCCCTTCAGCTCAGCCATGAGCTGAGGTCTTTTCAACCTCCACAGCTCCCTCCTGGAGCTGGGTTTTGGCTGCAGAGGCAATTTGTGCTGGGGTATGAAAACAGATAAACCAAAGAAAAATAGCAAGGCCAGAGTGAAGTCCAGTGTGGGTGTTTTTTGATCTTAAAGGCTTCAGAATTCTGTTCGGGTTTTATTTTGTTTGGCTTTTTTTTTCCTGGTCTCTTTTAGAAAAGCTTTTCACGTACAATGATCTCTCAAACAATTTATTTGAAATCATTGGTGGGTGGCGCATACATTATGGGCTGTGGTTTCATTGATATGCTCAGCCTCACTAAGTAGATGGCATATGAAATGTTTTATTTACCCCGTGTGCTACCTGTCATCTAATCAGCTTTTGTTTTTGCTGCATTCTGCTTGTATTATAGCAAGAGTAAGTGATTTCATGTAAATTAAAACCACATGAAACCTTTTAAAGCCATTTTAAAATACTAAATGGTTTTGCAAATAGGTTTGTCGGACAAGAATTGGAAAAAGAGCTCTTTGCTTACCCATTTACTCTTTTGTATGCTTATTAGAAGCCCCCCATGTGACTCTTTCATCAAACATTGCATCCCAGTACTCATCTAGAATGCCAAAAGTCATTTATACTGTGCTCAAGAGTGGTTTGCATAAACAGGAGGCAGTTAACAAAGAATACAGTTGTGAGCTGCGATTGCAAATGTTATTTTATTTTACAAATTACAACACAGATGCACAATAAAGTCAAAACATGCATCCCTGTGATATTTTCTTGCTTGCCTGGAGCATAAAAGTGTGTTGGCTTAAAAGTTTCTTTGCTTTTATTAACTATTATTGCCAATGTTTATGATTGCAATCATTTCACTGTGAATAATTTTGTTTCTTACAGGTGGATCGTATCATCTTCTGTGTCTTTTTGGAGGTTGACTACAAAATTTTCAAGAAGAAAATGGGCGAGTTTTTCCCGCTAGGTGAGTATAGTAATGGAGTGCCATCTGACTTGAAAAAATGATGCAGCAAAAAGACAACAGTTGGCATCCTCTCTTCTTTCCCTGCCTAAGCCAAATATTAAAATGTGAACTTTCTTTAAAGATCAGCTGCACGTAGAGGCTCTGATCCTGGACAAATGCAGACATTTAAAATTTGTGAACCGGTAAAACTACTTGTGGTACTGCTTTTGCAAAATCAAGGCCTGCTTTTGTATGCTCAGTACAGCCAGTTTCTTCATTCTCTGCTGTATCCGTATCTCCTCCTGAAACGTGGTGCGTGGCGCTGGCTCTCTTGGCTCTGAGGAGAAAATGATTTGCACTAACGTGTATGGCTCCTAGTGTATCTTGCTTTTCCATGTATTTTGTACATGCTCTGCTCTTTCATTAATGATGCCGGGAGGGTTTCTCTGGGTGTGAAAAGATACCGCAGGGGTTAGAGCCCAACTGTGTCTGAACGAGAACTTTAAACTTGAGCTGTCCCTGTGCAAGAATGAACGGGAGAAAGATGGCTCTCGCTGGAGCACTTGGGAAATGTTAGCCATTCATCTTATGTTTCACGCAGGAGGTTACTTTCTAGAATTTAAGAAAACCTGGTGGGTAGTAAATTTGATAATCCCCCTCACCACCATGTGCCTGTGATTTATTTTTATCGTATATCATTAGAAATCTGTGTTGAGTTTTTTTATCAACTCTAACCTTCTCCCGTTTTATTTTGTTGTCTCTGACATCAGTCCTACTGTACGTGACAAGATCCAGATTTCAGTATTTTGTTTTATCCCCATCTCAGAAGCGGCAGTCACTTACATACTCCCCACGCTGGCTGTCTGTCTGGTGGAAAGGGCCACTGAGTAATAGGAAGTAGAGCTTTGGTGTGTTGTGAGTCTCCATTAATTCTACAGGACCGTGTTGTCACAGTAGCCACAGTGGTTTTTTCCTTTTGCTTTGTCTGCTAGTATGGAAATTGTGACGTTTCTGTCTCATCTCACTAGAACAAAGCTTTTTGTATACAACTTTGTAATCTCTTAGTTTGCAATGATTGGCAGCTGAAACTTAGAGCCCTATTGAATTATTCAGGTAGCATAGAATGGTGTCTAACTGCTTAATAATATTTTTGTTTGGAGCACATTGAACGTTCATTTCAAAGACTACATTCATGTCTAATCCGTTCATTGTGTGATTTTATTTTTTTTGGCAGTGTACCCCAACACATAGGATAAAGCGGCAGTACCCTGCCTACTGTTGCTGGCTCTGTCCCCGCCCTTCAGATTAAGTGAGAGTAGACTGCAGTGTCAATTTGTCAAGAAATTAGAGTATTAATACTCACCCTCATAGTTAAGGTCTTTGAAATCATGGATTAAAGCCTGGTATTCTTGTTATAATTGTAAAACCTACTTGGGTTTGAAAGCCTGAGAGGCAAGCAGATGCTTCAGAGCTGAAGCATGGCAAGCCCAAAGAGGAAAAAGGAGGAAGATGGGAGATTTGTTTCTTTTTTGGGATTTTCAAAACCTGACATTGTTGAACTCCTGTCTACAGAGAACCTGTGTGGTTGGGTGTCATGTTGTGTAAAACGACTTAGAATTGCTTTGCGCCACTTTATGTAGATGATCAGTTGTACCATAGTTTTAAAAGTATGTTTGTTCTCTTGTATGGAAAGTTTTTACAGTTTTTCTTGCTTGACCTAAAACTGGGAATTTGGTATATGACTGTAGAGAGGTGGTTATGGTGGGCACTCTGTAAGGTGCAGCAATTCCAGTAGTTTGCAGGTATGTGACTATGCAAAGGTTGAGCCAGTGCTTACACAGACAGCTGTCAAGAGAATGATGTTTTCATTCTCAACAGCCACAATTTGGTATAGATTGCTGAAAGATCTTAGGACCCATTTTCGTAGGCTCCCCACTGCAATTTTCTCATAACTAACGATTCTGAAAACCAGTTTTGCTATGCCTTAATGATACTGGTTTCCAGAAGGACATGAACACCTACTGGCTGGTGAGCTGGAGCTTTAAAAGGAAGCAGTTTAGCATCTAAAACTTCATCCCTGACTCAGGGAAGGATTTCCTGTGATTAGGTCAGGAGTCAGTGATTTGGGAGATCTGATTTTAATGTCTTGTATCACCATGAACGTTTGGTATGCCCTTATAGGAGTCACTTGGATCTTCAACTCATGAGGAGACAGGGAGAGGCAAGAAAGATACATGCTGCCCAAATGACTTTCCATTAGTGTCACTGGAGAAATGATCAGTATGTGGTTCTCTCTACTAAAAGAGTGCCTTAATGATTAGTATACAGTCACAGGCTTTCTTTGCTGTCTTGAATTGACACTTTCCCGCACGGTACCACCACTTCAACAGATGTCAGATTAAGTCAGCCCCATCCCAAATTGCCTGTAGCCTACTGATGAGAACATTAACTGAACGTCTGGATGGTGATCGCCAGATGACCATCATGTAAGCTGTTTGTTCCTTTTTTCTGGTCTCTTGTGAATTGCTATCTGCATTTAACATAGTAGACTTTGACGAGTTATCAGCAGACTCCCCTACTGTAGGGATATTCCGTCTCTCTGCAGGACTGGTTTCTTGCGCCGAGGACTTGGTCAACATGGCTCTATGACAAGGAATTAGCAACTGTCTCTACCTTTGGCAATAAATTCCTGATATTTAGACTGTGGAAAGAATTGCCAAAACTCTGGTGGTTTGGTTTTGTTTTTAAGTGAATCTATTAATGTAGTGAAATAAGTCTTTAAGGATAGACTTGCCCTAAATTTAAATTGATAGGATGCTACCTCAACACTCACAGGAGAGAATAACACTGAGATATTGCTTTAAGCTTAGAGAAAAAACATTCAAGATGTTTTTAAAGTGTGTCTTGCATTCAGAAACATTATGAAATATATCTACTTTAATAGATGTGGACAAAAATGCTTAGAAAGAAGAATATATTCACGGAGTTATGTACATAAATAGTTATTACTTTAAACCCTGTGCATTAATAAATCCAAAAAGACATCCGAGTGCTTGAGCTAGTCAAGTGATAATGAAATGAAGCTAGAGTTACACCTCAGTGCATTAGAGTAAGTGGAATATAGATATAGGGAAATTGTTCCATTAGTTGAACATATCATTAGGCCTATTTTGCGAGTGGAATGCCAAAGAAATTAGTCGAGTAATAGTACTGATATTAAGACAACTGCCAAGAGCCTTGTCATTTGCAAACTTTAAATATATAGAGGGAAGAGAGTCTTCTAAGTAATTTCATGTCTTAGGAGTGTAGCAAAGCTGTTCAGTACCGGGCCGGTTGTCACAGTCTCAGCATTTCTGATTTAATCTCAGTAATCAGTAGCCTGTAGAGAACCTGAGGCAAGGCCAGCATGCTCTAAGGGGGAGTGCCACTTAATCTTTAACGCAGGCATAGGAGCTCATCCTAGTGGTTGTCCAGAAAAGCACTGGTTTAGAAAGTAAAGGGTCTTGGTCCACTCAGATTTTTCTGTTGAACCTCTGGGGTTTTGCTGGGAAGTTTTTGTATGTCCCGGTTGAAAAAGAGTGAGGGTGGAAGACTGTTTTGGTAGGACAACCAACCTTCTGTGCTTAAGATGTATCCCTCTTTTAACATATTAGGTGCAACAAACAGTGATGTGTTGGTTTTTTTCATTTTGCCAATTGAGTCCTTTGCACTAGTGGAATGAGATAGCCCAGACGTTCTCCCTTCAGCTGTTTTGGGAAATTCATTCTGCTTAATCAGAGAGAATGTCTTGCTACATATCTTTCAGGCAAATAAAATATCCTTGCCTGCAGCTCTGGCTCAGACGTGTAGTTCTTACATTGCTGAATTCATTGCTACTAGTATTACGAGTGAGCTTTCCGGGAAAGGAGCTGATAATCATACCATGTTTTCTCTTTAAATTCGTTGTTTCTTCTAACAGAATTCTACATGGAGCATAGATACTAGGCATTACTTTTGTTGCTAAATATATGTGTTTATAAGACTGACCAGGAAATGGTATAAGACCAGTCCCCCTCAAAAAACTAGATTTACCAATACTTACCTGACAGTGATACGTACTTCTAGGATGCTATTTATAGGAGTAAAATTAAGAGTGTTTGTAAACAGTTGCCAGCTGGAGGCAAGGATACCTTTTTTTTTTTTCTCCTGTGTACTGTGTATACCTAGCTATTCAATATGTCAGGTAGATAATGTTGTAAGGACCTTTGGCAAATGCTTATTTTTCATGGTGGCTGTTGTATATTATGAAAGGTTTATCTTAAATTGTAACACTTAAAGTATTTCTAAATCTACCACCCGTTATCAGTGGATTGGAGAGGGGAATCATTTTTTCTGAAACTGTTCTTCAGACAAAAATGATGTTATAAAAGGTACGTACTGTGAGGCTGCAGCATTCAAGGTTATATTACATTCTTACTACTTTAAACAGAGTAACAAAATTACTTCACTAAAGCATCGCTAAAATTGTTAGAGAGAGGACAGGTTTGCACTTTTATTAGAGCAATTGATAGATGGAAGATGCAAGCTTTTAGACTCCGTGTCCTTTCAGAGCTAATGAAAGGATGCTGAGCCCAAGAGCTCGTTCTTTTTCTTTTTTTCCAAGCCGTATCAGTTGGTGTTAGGAAAAAGAGAGAGAAATTGCTTCATCTTGAAAAAACTTTTTCGCCCCTCTATTCCAGGTTATGACATTTAATGCATTTTCTGCTTTTATCCTGGTTGACGAAAACACTGTCGCCCCTACCCAAAGCATATGGATAAGAGCCACTGTCTTACATTAATCCTCCTGTTACTTCAGGAGGATGCACAGCATCCTATTTGTGCATAAATGTGCAAATATATTACAATTGCAGAGGAAATTCATTGTTAAGAGATCTGCCAGGCTTGGAATCAAATTGGAAACTGTCTAAATGGCTGAATGAAGGGCTTTGTATTAAAAAGGCAGATCCCTGCACTAATACGTGAGTGAACTCTTAAGCAGAGAT